TGTAAAACATCCAGTAAGAATTTAAAAATAATTCTGCCAGAATACTGCATCAATGCAAAACTGACAATGATGTGTTCACATGAAACGCAATATAATTTTTAGATTGGAGTTGTTTTAATACATCCAAATCTACTTTGGCCTTGCCACTGCAACATATATATGAACGACCAAAAAAAAATAATAAACCATTCTCAAACTTTCCGCAGAACCAAACTTTAAAATATCTGACCTAAAGAAATATGAATACAAAGAAGCAGAATTAAAGATTACAAAACATCACTTGGGAAATTTTGTCTTTACACTAAAACAAATGGCAGACATCAGAAGCACACCAAATAAAATGATTTTGCGTTTTAAGTGCCAAGACGGAAAAGTAAAACAAAAAGAAAAGTTCAAAATGCACCATTATCTTTGTGTTTTGGCTTTACCTTGAGGAAGTTCTTGACTCGCTCAGGGTCGTAGCAGTTGCTCTCTCTACAGATCCTCTCCACCTCTTTGATCTGGCCGGTCTTGCAGGCAGCTTGAATGTATTTGAAGTGAACTTCAGGATCCTGACTGAAGTTCACAATAGAACCCAGGAAGTAGAACAAACCTAAGGAACAAAGACGTGTCAATATCATTAGCAAACACAAAACTAATGAAAATTATGATCTAATACTTTAGTCTGAAAAGTTTAAACAGGTCTTAACATGCTGTTCTATTCCACACAACTTTTAAAATGGCCCCCCCCAGAAAAACAAAAACCTGCAGTTGAGCCCGTCCAGGTCATTCCAGTCAAACTATTGATGGAATGGCCTCTTCTGTAGCCTTGACGTCTAATCGGTAAGTTGGATTATGTCTATTCAAGTACAAGGGCAGGATGGAATTCCAGCGTATATAAAACCAAAAAACAAGTCGCACCATGAAACTGAACTGAAAGAATGACTTCATGTAGAAGTTTTCCCAAAGGCAGGTCCCGAGGTTCTGTTCCCAAAACCAGAGGAAGAACACGAGGGGCTTTCAGACACATGGAAGGGAAATACTTTTTGTAAGATAAACTGCAGGACTTTTGTTTTTTTGGAACTTTATTGCCTCAAAGAACAACAACAAAGGCAATTTACAGATGATAAAGAACAAAGTGTTTGTTTTTGATAAGTTTATTGATCCAATCTAAACAATAGATGCATGCAGAATCGAGCAACATTCAGATTAGTCAAATAGAATAGAGTCCTGACCATCTTTGTGAGAAAATGTCCATTTTCATTTGTAACTGGGCAGTCAGACACCATCACATATAGACACGTTTCAATGTTTGCATCCATTGAGCAACAGTTTGTGAGCATAGTTTAATCCAGTTTAGGGTAATGGTCTTTCTTGCCACTAGCAACAGGATGTGCAATATGTAACAATTTTTTTTTCCCATTCAACCTTTATAAAGGATAGTCTCATTGAGCCACGAGTGACCTGTTCCAGACAGAACATCTTTGGTGATCTTTGACATGATCTTTAGTGAGTAAGTCCTTGGGATACATGTCCAGAAGAAATGGGTCCATTGGAAGATCTGTCCTTAGAAAGTCCTCAATCTTCTGTTTAATGTTCTCCCAAAAAGGTCTTAATTTTGGGGCTGTCCCAAAAGACGCATTTGGTCACCGACCATACCACAATTCCTCCAGCATTTATCTGCAAGTCTTCTGCTTTTTGTTATTAGGGCTTTCCTAAAATAAGCATTTTCATAATTCCTATCACGATGGGTTTCTGATCATTAGCTGTAGAGAAAATTTTAGTTAGAATTTTAATTAGGATGCTGCCGACCTGCAGTTGCTCTAGTGCAAATATATAATACCTGTTCCATGTCAAAGGACACTGTCCAAAAATAAATAAATAAATTGTTTGCGCAGCTGTTGCAAGTTCAAAGCTCTTACATTAATTGAGGGAGGGGGAGTATTTGCTTTTCAGTCTCTGCTTCATAAAGTTTCATACAAGGCATTATACTACCAAGACCATCTGGTTCAAGAAAACCTGGCTGACATCCGGGACTGGATGGCTTTAAACTTCTTAAGCTTCAATGAGAAGAAGTCTGAAGTCATGCTGTTCCATCCCAGTGGCTCACTCATGAACCATGACATTGACCTTTTCTCTCTAGCCCCGCTAGAGAAACAAAAGGTGACTAATCTGGGGGTGATAATGGACCCGTCCTTAAAACTCAACAGTCATGTAAACATGATGGTCAAATCCTGTTTTTTTTCAGCTGAGACGGCTGTCTAAGCTGAAGCCTATACTCTCCAAAAAGAACCTTGAGACAGTGATCCACGCCTTCATAACATCTAGGCTTGATTACTGCAATTCACTTCTGTTTGGAATCAGTCAGTCCTCCATTGCTCGTCTACAACTGGTCCAAAATGCTGCAGCCCGATTTTTAACTGGTACAGGCTATAGAGAGCACATCACGCCAGTTTTGGCCTCCCTGCACTGGCTACCCATTCACCTTCGGATCCATTTCAAAATTCTCATGTATGTTTTTAAATCACTGAACAGTTCCGCCCCATCCTATCTCACTGATCTTCTGCAGCCATATGTCCCACCGCGCTCTCTGAGGTCAGCAGACCAGATGCTTCTCTCAGTCCCAGAAACCCGTCGTAAGCTCAGAGGTGACAGGGCTTTCTCTGTTGCAGGTCCACGACTGTGGAATGAGTTGCCACTGAGTGTCCGGCAGGCTCCCACACTCTCAGTCTTTAAGTCT